AGCCCAAAATTAAGTGGGCCCCAAACGTCTTTTGGGTTGAGTCCGAAGAGATGATGTGTTCTTTATCGCGTGGCAAGTCACACGGTAAAGACAGTTCGTCAAAACCATTTATGAGTGAATAGGAAGTTGACATCGTTTTTGAATTCGTGGAATTGGACATTTAAGTTTTAAATGTGGGTTTCCTTGTGTGGCTTATCCCACATTAAAACTTTAAGAGAACTTTGTTGAGTTTATAAGCTTTAGATTGTAACACTTGCGTTGGGCCCCAAGGGACACCCCAAGTTTGTAGAAGGGAGGAGTTATGGACAAAGTGAACCTTAGCCCAAACCACCACACAAGCTTGCGCCGCCGCTGCCGTTCGTCCGGCCGAGCCAAGCCGTGCCGTGCCGTGCCGTGCCTTGCCTGGCGCGGGTGTGGTTGTAGGTTGGGTCGGTTCTAACATTAATTTTTTGGACAAAATTTATTTGAATTTTTTCAAAAAATTATTGTAGGAAATTATTTGCATTTCAAATTAAATTTTTTCCAAACTTTTTGTGCCTCTTCCAATCCAAATTCCACACAGATTCAAACTGGTTTTACAGTTATTTAACTGCTAGAAACTGTCCAGTTGAACCGGACAGATTCTTTACCAGTTCAAACAGGTTCATACAGTTCGGACATATCAACTATTCCAGTAGTTATCTATTTGAATAGTGCTTGCACCTGTTCAATTTAAATGTGCACCTGTTCACTTCAAATTAGCACCTATTCGGGTCTGTTAATTGTACCTATAAATGCCAGCATTTCTAGTAGTGTTTAGGCATCCAAAACAGTCTAAAAAAATACATTTTGCTCTCCAAATTTTGTTCCTTTGCATATATAATCTTCATTCTAGTTTTAGAGAAAATTAAAGAGAGTATAGAACACAAGGTTTTAATTCGCCGGACAAATTTGTTTGGAGTGTTACTACAAATTTGTGAAGATCATTGTATCCTGAGAGATAGACGTCATTGGTCCTAAGCACCGAAGCGAGGCGAATCTGTCTTAAGGACAGAGTGTCACACACTCGACTTGGTCTTTTATTTTTCATTTGGTTCGATAAAATAAATTCTATAAGTTATTTATTTTATTTTGTTTGATTTAGTTTCAATTTATTTTATTTACACAGAAGATTGTCCCAACATTCTGGAGGGAGTTTCTGGTGGCCAAAAGTGTGGCAGCCTAGGCAAGTTGACGTTGGTCAAAATCACAGTCAATGTAGAGAGGATAGATGGTGGGTTGTGTAAGAAAAGTGCAGGGGATTGGAAGAAAGTTGTCGGAGGTGAGAAACGGTAGAAGGAAGACTGCAGGAGGTGGACGAACGGTAGAGGAGTGCTGCTAGAGGTGAGAGCATAATAAAGAGAGAGATAGAGAGAGAGAGTGAGTGAGTAAGTGAGTGTGTGTGTGTGTGTGTGTGTGTGAAGGATTAGGTGAGATAAGAAATTGGTGATTCAAATCTCAGGATTTAGGGATCAATTGGTAATTTTACACAAAAAAATAAATTGTGATAAAAAAATATAAATTAAAAAGTGTAATGAGTTTTTTTGTGTGCTGTAAATAGAATTACCCTAGTTGAAAAAGTTAGACTCATCACTTTTTCATCGTTGGTTCTTAGGGGTTGTTTGGGGTGTCCTAAATAAGTGTACTTTTTGTTTTTTTGAACTAAAAAATTAAGGAAGAAAATATGGATGTTTGGGTTAACTTTTTGACTTTTTATGGAAAAATGTGTATTAAAAAATTGTATAAATTAATGTATAAGAGAAAATTAGGATGTGGAGTTATGCAGCCGTAATTTTTGACTTTTGGTGAATAGTGATAACTTTTTAACTTTTTGAATAACTTTTTGACTTTTTGACAACTTGCCAAACTTGACCTTAAGACTTTGGAATGCACCTCTTCTTCTTACTTTATCTTATATATTTTAGGTAAATTGATTATGTACCAAATGACTTCTCCATATATGCGACAAAGAAAAACAGTGTCGCTTTTTTTTTTTCTTTTTTTCTTTTTTCGATCCTTTGTTTAGTTATTGATATGAAATCCGTTGATATATTTGTATTTCTCAAATGTACGAGTCTCCATTTGTTAAAGTTACAAATTTCAATTTCATAATGGAGTTAACTTAATACGAAGCTAGGTTTCGTATGAGAAATATGTTATTTTATTAATTTTTTAATTTTTTGATTAAAATATGAGATAAAAAAAATTAGGATATTTTTAGAGTGATTTTTTAACTTTTTATAAAAAGATGTGCAAAAAGTAAAGAGAAAATAAAATTTTTAACTTTTTGGTATAGATTATAGGTTTTTTAATTTTTTTAGTAACTTTTTGACTTTTAAACTAAAACAATTACTTGCCAAATGAGGCCTAAGATCTCGTTTGAGAATAAGCTATTTTAGCAACTTTTTAATTTTTCAGCTAAAATATGAGATAAAAAAATTTATATTTTTGGAATAATTTTTTAGTTTTTTACGAAAAGATGTGCAAAAAGTAGAGAGAAAAGAGAATATTTAATTTTTTAATATATGTTATAGAATTTTGATTTTTTGATTTTTTTAATAATTTTTTAACTTTTAGACTAAGTACTTCCCAAACGAGGCCTAAATTGGCCCATTTTTATAATTTAAATCGTTCATCTCATTTAACCAACTAAAAAAATTATTCATGCAAAAAATTCAACATCAATTATCGTATTATTAGATTATTTTTATCCATATAACATATATATTTTAAAAAATAGACCATCTATTTATTATAATTTATATTTAGTTAACTTAATTTTTTACATTTATAATCTTCTCAATTTGTCATATAACATTAACTGTTCATATTAATAAAATGAATATTTATTTGTGAAGTTGAAATGTTTAATCCTGTAACATATAATCTTATTCCCTGAAGTGTTTTGGAAAATTAATTAAAAGTTAATTTTTTGACTCTTTGTAATTTTTTGACTAAAAAACTAACTTTTTTGTGAATTTTTTGTAACTTTTTTAACTAAAAAAATTAAAAAATCAAAAAATAAACTTTTAATCAAATTACCAAAACAGTTCAAAAAATTAAAAAATCAAAAAATAAACTTTTAATCAAATTACCAAAACAGTTCAATATTTCATAGTAGCCTCATTAGACGCCAAACAATGTTGATTCTAATTCCAACAATCAAGTCTTGCATTTGGTAGGTGTCACATGGTAACGTGGAAGAGATGCCTTGAACTTGAACCAATATATATATTTTGGATAAACAATCAGTGTGTGGGGTTTGAATTTTTTGAATTAAATTTTTTAAAAATTGAATTTTTTAATTTTCATATTTTTAGTTTTTAGTAAATATTTTTAAAATTTTAAATATTTTTTTATATTTTTTAATACACCTTATTTAGATGTATCTAAAAAATAAAAAATTTGTGAAAAAATATTTTGGTCTTCCTTTGGACAGAAAACACGCCTGTGTGCACAGAGTTCTCTGCAGAGAGTGTAGAAAATTGATTTGAAAACGTAACCAAACATCATGTTCCAAAACACACGTAAAAAATTGATTTGAGAATATAAACAAACAGAGCCTAATTTTTTTGTGAATTTTTTGTAACTTTTTTAACTAAAAAAATTAAAAAATCAAAAAATAAACTTTTAATCAAATTACCAAAACAGTTCAATATTTCATAGTAGCCTCATTAGACGCCAAACAATGTTTGATTCTAATTCCAACAATCAAGTCTTGCATTTGGTAGGTGTCACATGGTAACGTGGAAGAGATGCCTTGAACTTGAACTAATATATATATTTTAGATAAACAATCAGTGTGTTCGGTTTGAATTTTTTGAATTAAATTTTTTAAAAATTGAGTTTTTTAATTTTTGTATTTTTAGTTTTTAATAAATATTTTTAAAATTTCAAATATTTTTTTTATATTTTTAGATACACCTTATTTAGATGTATCTAAAAAGTAAAAAATTTGTGAAAAAATATTTTAAAAATTAATAAATACATAAAAATACAAAAAATGTACTGATTTTTTTTATTTATATTTTTGATATTTAGTGAATTTTTAAAAGTTTTTTTTATTTTAAAATTCACCAAATGCAAAAATACAAAAATTCAGTAATATTGTAATAAATGTGAATGATGGTATTTGATAATACAGTAATAAATGTGGGTGAATAGATAAGAAAAAAAATGATGGTAAAAAAAAAAAAAAAATTCTATTCGTATATAAAAATTTATGAAAAAAATCATAAAAATATCGTGATAATGATGTTGTAAATATAAATTTTGTTTTAAAGTGAAAGGTCCCCATTAAACTATATTATTGTATTTGAAAATTTTATATAAAATTTATGTTCATATATCATCGCTCAATAAGAACATGTTTATGTAAAATTTAATGATGAAAAATTATAAAATGATCATTTTAAAAATTTTAGAGGATAATATCAATAATTCAAGAGAGCAATTTATAAGGAAAAAAAATGTAATTTTTATGGGGTTGTTTGGGATAATCTAAATAAGTGTACTTTTTGACTTTTTATAAAAAAAAAATGTGCAATATAGATTGAATTTAAAGTGATATAATAAAGAAGTCATGTAATTTAAATAAAATAATATAAATTTGATGTAACTTAAATAAAATGATATAAGTTAAATAAGATAGCTATTTTTCAATTTTGTTTTGAATTTTTTAGATTATGCAAAACCTAACCTTAAATCAAACTTACGTGCCTGTTTGGTGCAGTTTAAAAGCTGCTTATTTTAACTTTCAGCTTAATTTAAACTATTTTGATGTGTTTGGTTTAGTTTAATAATGTAGCTTATAGCTTTTCGTAAGTCAGAAATTAACTAATTCTTTGAGTAGGGTAAGAGATACTTAATTTATAAATTAAAAATCAACTTTTGTTCATACTTATAAATTATAAACTGTTAAGACATAAGTTATAAGCAATTTCCCAATGCTCTGCCAAACATGGCCTGTATATTACTAAAACTTGAAATGACCGGCCTATGGATGTCTTGTGAAATCAAGGCAGGCATAGGGAGTTTTTCTGAGAGAGAGAGAGCGAGAGAGAGAGAGAGAGAAAGGGTAGAGGAATGGATCAAATAACTCGGAAGAGACGGCCACAGCCGTCGGATCATCCATCGTCGTCGTCGTACACGAAGTTCGATAAGACGGAGAGATCGACCGGTGGCGAAGAGTCGGACAAGGGATTGGGGTGGAAATTACCGTTGATGGCCCTAGGAGTGCTTAGATATATGAGTGCAACTTCGAACCTAATACATGACTGTGACGAGGTCTTCAATTATTGGGAGCCTCTTCATTTCCTTCTCTACCAATCTGGCTTCCAAACTTGGGAATACAGGTCCCCATAAGCCCCTCTCTCTCTCTCTCTATATATATATAGCTATGATTTTGTGTATGAGTGGTTGCTTTGATTATCTTTATTGTTTGTTTTGTGAATTCAGAGCGAATTTATTGCTAAAATGTAGTTGAGAATAGGAATGGCAACGGGGCGGGGCCGGGGATGCCACTTCCCGTCCCTGATCCCCGATGACAAAAAACTCCCCGGCCCCGATCCCTGACGGGGAACCCATCTCCTCCACCATCCCTGCCCCCTAACGGGGATCGGGTTTCCCCTACCCCGAAAAATCCCCGCCAGATCTGTTCTAACACACACAAGAACAACAATAAAAAAAATGTAAGAGGGAGGGAGGGAGGTGAGAGACGCGGTTCTCAATTCTGAACAACAGATTCAAAAACTAGTTAAAAAAAAAAAAGAAAAAAGAAAAAACAGATTCAAAAACAGATCTACCACAAATTTGTTCATCAACAGACGCAATTCCCAATTCTCAATAACAGATCTACAACAAATTTGTTCATCAACAATAATCATCAAAAAAATGTAATCTATATATGAACAACACTCGATCAACAACTTAAAAAAAAAAAAAAAAATTTGTTCATCAACAATAGATTTGTTGATTATACACACACACGCACATATATATATATATATATATAGAGAGAGAGAGAGAGAGAGAGTTGTTTCAGATCCGTGCGCTGACGGTTCACGGACACGATCTGTTAAGATCGGTGGCTTGACGGTTCAGATCGTGGGTTCAGCTTGGTGGCTTCGCGTCAGTGGCTTCATGATTCAGATCGGTGGCTTCATGGTGGTGGATCTGGATGATGATGACGATGATGAGAGTGAGTGAGGGAGAGGGAGAGAGAGAGTAAGAGTAAGAGAAAGACGGAGGGAGATGAGAGACGCAGTGACTCTGAGAGTGAGTGAGGCAAAGGGAAGAGAGAGAGTAAGGAGGGACGAAGATGAGAGACCCAGTGAGTGTGAGTGAGAGGAGGTTTGGTGAATCCGAGTGAGTGAGGGAGGGAAAGGGAGAGAGAAAGTAAAGGAAGGGAAATGAGACACGCACAGTGAGTGTTTAGAGGAGGGTTGGGTTTATATATATTGTTTTCAAACCGGACTGGTTTGAATCGGGAACCGGGCCTTGTTCTCGGTCCGGTCAACCCCTAAACCCGGATTGGGGCCAAAAAACCGGGAAACCCGGTGACCCAGTGGTCGAAACCGGCCAGAACGGTCTATTTTTTTTTTTTTTTTGGGTTTTACTTTTTTTTTTTATTTTCTTCTTTCTTCTATTTCTTTCTTTCTATATATATATATATATATAATAATTTTCAAATTTTTGACTAAATTCTTATTTCAAGAGTCTCCTCTCATAAGAAAGAGTCTCATTGAAAGCTTGAGAAGATTAATGAAAGTCTATTCCTATTTATAGGAAAAGATTTTTCAAAGAGAACCTACAAAATCTATGTGGGATTCAATCAAATTATTTGAAACATATTGATTGGAGGGAGAGTTGAAAAATTTCATTTTCTCCAAATTAAATCTAGCATTCAATCATTTATTTGGAGGGAATGTTTAAAAAATTTAATTTCTTTGAAATAAGTGACTTTTTTTTTTTTTTTATCAATTGATTTATTAAATATATTATAAAATATTATGCATAATTTTTTATTTTTATTTGATTATTTATATATATTTTATTTATTTATAATTTATAATTTATATTTTTTAATTATAAAATATTATTATGATGTCACGGTTCGACCGGCTTTGACCCGATGTTGAACGTGACCCCGTCACTCCAATCCTTTTTCCGGTTCGCTCACCGGTCCGGTTTTGAAAACATTGTTATATATATAGGAGGGGTAAAATGGTAATTTTTTTCGGGGACTAACGGGGACGGGGACGGGGACGGGGTTGGACACTTATCCCGTCCCTGCCGAAAGTGATCGGGATTAATTTTTAAATACCACCCCGTCCATTGGGGATATTTTTCGGGAAAAACCGCCTAATTCGGGATCGGGGGGTCGGTCCCGTCGGGCCGGGTTCAAATTGCCATCCTTAGTTGAGAATAGTTGATTTTTGGTTCGTCTTACTTTTAATTTATTTTTAAAATTTTTTGTTTTTCTTTTTCTTTTGGGTCTTTTCTGACTTGTTATTGGTGAGAAATTATTAGAAGGCTACATTTGGAAGTAACTTTTTTTACTAAAAAAATCATACGATTGGATAATTTTTTTTTTTTTTTTTGTTTTTAGACTTTTTACAAAAAATGCAAAAAAAAAGTAGTGTGAATGGGAAGTAATTTTTATCTTTTTTATGGTTTTTTTTTTTAAGTGATATTTTTTCCTAAAATAAACAACCTGCCTAAAAGCATCTCTAACGCTTGCTTTTTTCCATCAAATTTTGAGGAAAGATTTGGGTTAAAAGCTTCATCTCCTACCAACTGTTTCGACCTAAGGTATCGTTTTGCCATGACTTTTTAGTTGTTTTTTTTTTACTTTTTTTTGATTTTTTAGCTTGGCCACTTTTTTTAGTTGTTTGGTATTATTTGTTGGCTTTTTTGGCCTTTTTTTTATTTTTATTTTGGAATGACAAAATTGCCCTTAGTATGAAGGATGCTTTTTGACTTTTTGTTTGTATATGGGGTAGTTTGGTATTTTGTAGTTTTTTGTCTTTTTGTGATTTTGTATTTTTTTTTTTTTTTGTCTTTTTTGTGATTATATAGCCAAAAATGAAAACCAAACCAAGGCTAAATTTTTAATTTTCATCAAACAATCGGTCAATCGGGAGGATGTCTGGGAGATTGATTGGCCTGTGTAAATTTCTCTTTTTTTTTTTGCAAGCACAGGTTGTTTGGGAGAACAACCGGGCCCGATATCTGGTGTAGTGTGATGCCCAACGGCTACTTTGCAACAATAATGATCACCTTCTCAATTTGATGAAACACTCAAGCCTCCAGCTCCCTAATTTAGTGAAAGTTTTTGGTTTTCCCTCACTTGATATGAATTTGAGTTCATGGCTAGAGCAACAAAACTGTACTTTATTTCTGTTTAAACACTACATCATTCTACTCCACCTACTTACCCCTACTATCCAGCCTACTCCACCTACCATACATCTCCTATATAAGGAGCCCCATACACCAATTTGTAAATATATAAAGAATACATCAATCGTAATACATACAATTTTTCTCTCTCTATCATTTATCTTACATGGTATCAGAGCAAGGTAAGAAGCCTAAGTAATTTCTGCTTCACCGCGGGCGGCAGCCTCGCCTTTGGCCGCCCGCGCGGACTCTAACCAACATGCCCTTCCTCCTCTCTTCTTGGGAATTGGCAGCCACATGATCCTCCTTTGGGTCAAATGATCTGAGACCAATTTAGTTGTTGATTGCTCCGTCTCTCTCTTGCAGCGAATTGGAGGGAAGCAGAAAGTGCGGAGATAGCTCTTGGTGTCGCATCTACCCAACCACGTCTCTCTCTCCTCTGTTATATATCTGAGTGAAAATTCAGTCCTCGACCAACCACCAATGTAGTTTGTCGCTCTGCCGACTTCTCTCTCTCTCAATCTTTTTATTATATTTGGTGTTTGTTGTCCTTATACATTTTCACTTCACAAACTCTACATTTGCATCCAAGTCCTCTCTTTTCTTCTGTTCTGGGTTTCCATCACAAGACACACTGATTCAATACTTGATTGCATGGAAGAAGAGAGAGAGGGAGTATCGGTTCGATCTTTGTTCTTTTCCTTGCAATTTACAACCCGCGTCAAGAAAAATTCGGCCTACGATGGTGTGAACGTAGCCAAGGACCTAGTTTGCTGGGACTGTTGGTGGGGCAAAGCGCAGTTGAATTGTTGGAACACCCCTTTGATACGATCAAGGTCAAACTCCAAAGCCAAACCCACACCACTCCCAGGTCAACCTGAAATTCTTGTCCTTGGTGCTAGGATGCTGTCAGAAAAACGATAGCATACAGAAGGCCCAGTGGTCTGTACAAAGATAATTGCTGGGGCTGGGGCTTGGGGCTGGGGCTGGAGTTGTCGTCTCTTCTGTGGCTGCCCCACTGAATTTGATAAATGCCAGTGTTGCAAGCACAGAGTGCTCTAGCAGATTTGGTTCAGACTGCCGTGTGGCAGTGAAGTATGCAAGGACCGAAAGACGGTGGCAAGGCATGTCTCCGATCAGAGGCGGTATTGAGAGGTCCTTCAAGAGCTTAATTCCCACTATGGCATGAGAGGGTTCCTGGAAATGCTGTACACTGTGTTGGGCGTCTACGAAGCCCTGAAGCAGTCCTTGCAGGAGGCAAGAACAGATCCAAGTTGGGTAAAGAGGTTCTTTGAATTATAGCAGGGAGGCTTGCTGGAGCTTCCTATCTGGGTTTCTGTCTAACCAACCGATATTGTCAAGAGCGTAATTCAAGTTGAATGATTAAAAATTATCCCAAGTTTTCTTCTGGCTCGATTGGAATGTGTTTAGAAAGATTGTGGCCCTCCGGAGGGAGTGAAAGGCTTGTACAAAGGTTTTTGGATCTGCGCATGGCTTCGAAGTGTTCCATGCAAATGCAGATCATCTCATATTTTCCACTTTCAAACCCACATCCTTTTTTTAAAATCTAACCCACTCCCTCTCGTTACCTAAGGACAATCCACCACTTTGCCCACTTTCCAACCCCTGTTACTTACCCTTTTGCACCCCACTCCCAAGATTCACCACACCATCAACTGGGTTTTTCAAAACCATTATTTTATTTTTTAATCTTTTCTTTTGGAACATTACCAAACAAATGTCAGCGCGCGCATCCCAACATCCTCCTCAAAAATATTCTCTCTTTCTTTATCTATTTTTTATATTCTTATTATTATTATTAAACACAACAAAAAAAAAAACAACACCAAACACATTCCACATCCTCACAATCTTTGTTTTATATTTTTCTGTTGGGATTAACCCCGATCACTATTGTTACAGACACAAACCAAAAACAACCAAAAAAAAAAAAAAAAAAAAAAAAACAAACAAAACAGCCAACAACCTTCCTCATCCACAGGCGGGATTTTCTTCTCTACTCATGCAGCCGGTCTCTTCTTCTGCCTCCCGTCCTGAAGCGGTCCACTTGACGGGTTGCCGTCCGGTGTTCCCACTGCCAACTGGGCACGCATCACTACTTCCTGCTCCTCCACTGCAAGCATATGGCGGACCTCCACAAATCGGAACATATCACGGTGGCTCTCCGCTTCAGCTCTTTATTTTCCGCCTTTAGCACACTTATCTAATCTCGCTCGCGATACCTTATACATTGCCGCGATGGAAGAGACAGCAGACAGTTGGGCGTTTAACTGCTGCAAGACCTCATTTGTTCCTACTGCCTGGAGCCGGGTGCGACAGGTTGTGACCCTCATCAGCCGTCATGGTTTCCACACATGACTTCAATGTATACTGATTGGCCTCAATATCTGTTTGCACTGCCATTTTTTGCTCCACCGATCGCATCGGAAAGTTCAACGGAGCAAACCCTGGGGCGCTTGGTTGAGGTTCTAGTGCCACCGCACCAGTTGTCTCTCTTGTTGACTCGTTGAGGTCTGGAAAGAGAGTGAGCAGACCACGGGAAGAAGAGGCCATGTTATGGGTTGCTGGGTGTTTCAGAGAAGGGTTGGTTACAGAGTGTTTACAGAGTGTTTCAAGATTTGCAGCTCTTAGCGACAAGCTCTCAGAGAACGAAGAGGTTTCAACTGGTTTGTTATGCTTCCAAGCCTCAGTCTCTGCTTCGGTTTATAAAGACCATGATGAAGAGGCAGACACGCGCATCATGCGCCATTCGGCGCTCGACGACAACATGGGCGCGCCTTTTGATGGCACGTCTTTTGATGGATTAGGCACGCCTTTTGATGGCACGCCTTTTGAAAAATTGGGCACACCTTTTGAGGGTGCGACTTTTTAGTGGTCCGACAAGACTCTGTAAACTGTCCCGACATTGATTCCGGTTAGCTCCTTCATGGGTCCGACAAGACTCTGTAAACTGTCCCGACATTGATTCCGGTTAGTTTCTACAAGGGTCCAGCAAGACTCCGTAAACTGTCACAACAACTGTCACAACCTTGTCTGCTACAACGGTCCGACATGACCCCATAAACTGTCTTCTACACCGGTTCGACATGACCCCATAAACTGTCTTCTACATCGGTCTGCCATAACCATACAGTCTTCTACAACGGTCTGACACGACCATACAGTGTCTCCTATCCATTTTTTATTTTTCAGATTATTTTCTTGTTTTGTTACTCTCTCCAAACTCAAGTTGGTTAGTTCCTATCCCCCTTGAGTTTGCGGGGGGCTGTTAAAACCTACCATCATCTACTCCACCTACTACCACCTACTCCACTACATCTCCTATATAAGGAGCCCCTCACCATTTGTAATATATAAGATACATCAATCATAATACATACAATTTATTCTCTCTCTATCAATTTATCTTACAATTTCATTAAATTTGATGGAAAAAAAAGAGTAAGGGTCAGAGACGCTCTAACGGAGCCATAGGCTGTGTTTGGTTTATGATTTAGGAACTAATTTGGAAAGGAAAAGAGATTAGGTAGGTGAAATGTGAATGAAATATATACGGTTTCACACACCTTTTCCCTTTGTCTTCCCAAATCCATGGACCAAACACAACCCTATACTTGCAACTCTTCCCAAGAAAGAAACCTTTCTGACCCCCTCACAGGCCCATACATACCTGTGAACACCCGCCGGAAATCATCCTCAACACAATGAAAGAGGCAACACATCGAGAAACCACCCATCTTCTCCTCCTCCACCACCAGCCTCCTATCCCAGCATACAAGAACCCCCCTTGCCACCCCAATAGCCGGCAGATGATTCCAATCCACAAAATGACCCCCCCACAGCTCCCGAACCACCTCCCCATCAATACAGTCCATTTTTGTCTCCTGAAGACACACTACTTCTGCCTTGGCATTCCTTAGTAAAGATCTGATCAACACCCTCTTCCCCCTATCATTCAACCCATCCACATTCCAAGATAAAAATTTTAGGTGCATGGCAAGAATAGTTGGTTATCGCGATTCTTCCTTGAAGCCCCCGACCACCTCCTGCTTGTCTTGTGTTTGTCATAGTTAACCGAGCATTCCAAATTCCTCAGCTCCCTAACACCTTTACCCTTCTGCCAGACGGAACATTCCCTCTCCAAGAAGCCTCAATTGCAGAGAACAACTTTATAGCTTCATCCTTATGCCTTTCAAACGAGACACCATGCAGCTGACTTACCTCCTGAATCTGAGATAACACCCAATCAGACACCTCTCCTGGGCAAGGAGGCTCATCCCCCTCAAAAGCATTTGCCACTGGCTCGCGAACAGATCCTTCATAGTCAGCCACAACAAACTCCCCTGATTCCATTGCTAACGGACGAAGCATTCTGTTGTTAGTAATCCTTTCTATCTTATTACTAAAGTGGTAACGAAATGCCTTCTGTGACACATGCAATCTGATCCATTTTAATGTTTCTCTCTCTGGAAACCCTATTTTCCTACTTGGTTCTTGGCAAGTTGCATTCCTTTCTTTTACTAATATATAATCTTGGATGTGTCTTATTAAGGGTTTTCCTAAATTATAATGCTTATCAACATTAAAGTTCCCTTTTTTTTTTTTTTTGAATAATATTTTTCTATTATCATTTAGGGATTTAGTTTGTTTTACAATTCTCAAAAGTGTTGCTGGAGCTTGAAGTGCTTTGGAATCTTTTTTCTTGATTGGATTTTGTTTTTAAGGGGTAATCACTGGTTTAGTGATTAAAACCTTGGCCTATTAACCTTGAGGTTATGGGTTCAAGTGTGAGGATAGCCACTTTGTGCATTTATGCCAAAGGGTAGGTATGTACCCAATCCCCATTAATGGGTACTAATTGGGCGTTGATTAGATTTTGTTTTCCGATGTGTCTCCTGCAGCTCCCAGTTTGCACTTCGCTCATACCTGTACCTTCTTTTTCATAAGTTAGTGGGTGGACCAGCTTCCTGGTTGTTTAGTGAGGAAAAAGTAAGATACTTTTGCAGTTTCAGATATATTATTCCCTGACTTGGCACAATTTTACTTCGTCAACTTTGTGCAGGTTCAACTAATTAGTATTCTACCTTCCAGGTGAGAGTATTCTATGCTGTAAGAATCTTCCTTGGTCTCCTCTCTGTCATCACAGAGGCTGCTCTGATAATAGCCCTTTCAAGGAAATATGGAAAACGCCTTGCTTGTTATGCGCTTGCAATGCTATGCTTAACTAGTGGTTGCTTTTTTGCTAGCACAAGTGAGTAAGCCTCGCTCATTGAACTGCTATCCCATTTTCTCACATTGTGCTACTATAGATCTTGCAATAAGGCTATGTTTGGTTCGTGAATTTGGAAAGGGAAAGGGAAAGGAAAAAGGTGTGTAAAATGTAGGTATATTTCATTCACATTTGACTTACATTTTTCATTTCCCTTTCCAAATCCCTGCTCAAATCAATGAACCAAACACAGTGCAAGGCATCTTTTTAGTAGCCAAATGTTAGTTTTACCATACTCTCCATATTCATCCTTTAAAAAATATATATAAATAAGAAATGCTTGTCGATGTTATTCTTGTCAGAATTTTTATCTGTCATCTGTGCTATATTTGTAGGTTTCTTGCCCAGTTCGTTCTCAATGTATGCCATATCTCTCTCATCTGCATTATTTCTTTTTGAGAAACCTGCCATGGCAGTCGCAGTTGCAGTTGTCGGGGTTGTTCTTGGTTGGCCATTTTCAGTCTTGGCTTTTCTGCCAATAACAATTTGCTCATTGATTAGAAGGTTCAAACATGCATTTCTTGCAGGGGCTGTCATGTCACTTATGCTTCTGGTAAGTAAATTTTAAATTGTTGGTTATCGTTTCTTCCCATGAATTTTTCATGCCCATGCTTTTGTAACACAAGTTTATAATTGTCTGAAGTTATTTGTGGTATCCCATCTTTACTTGACAAATTGTTCTGGATTCATTCCAGGCACTCTCATTGCTTGTTGACTACTACTATTATAGAAGATGGACATCATCTGTTCTGAATCTGTTATTATATAATGTCTTAGGGGGTGGTGAGAGCCACTTGTATGGAACTGAAGGGCCGTTGTATTATCTGAGGAATGGATTTAATAATTTCAACTTCTGCTTTGTTCTTGCATTGTTTTTCCTTGGAATCCTGCCCATTGCAAGGAAGAAGTATGCTCCAGACTTGTTGATTGTCGTCTCACCTATCTATATTTGGCTGGCATTTATGTCTTTGCAGCCACACAAAGAAGAAAGGTTGGACTCATCCCATGCCTCTTTATGTTTCCCTACTGTTTGTTTATGTCAAGTTTTATCAAGGACATGATATGAATTACTGCCAATAGTCAATGGTAGTGCTCAACACTTTATACATGCACTTGTCTTGTGGTCTTCAGTTTACCACATGCCTCTCTTTTGATTTGAGTGGAAATATTTGTATTTTGGGTTTAGTATACCATCTCTGTATGGATATGATGACTGAGCTGCATTGTTCAGAGCTTTTTGTTGGAGACGTAGTTGCAAGTTGAAGCCTTGCAAGTTGTCATGGTTAATTTTTCAATCTAGTAACACATTGTAAGTCCCACGATGACATATGAATATGATGGTAGGCCCAATCTGGCTGTTGTATTTGTAACTGGCAAGCATAGATTGCTAAGCTAAAGTAACTCTTTGTGAGGCAATACAGAAACAGTTGTTGATTCAGTGTGACTTGCTATAGTGCTTTGGAGTTAGTCTGATGCTTGAATGGCATTACTGGCTGGGTGAGGCTTGAGGGTGCTCAAATTTGCAGAGCCTTTGTTGTGTGACCCTATTGCGAACTCAACTTGTAGATTGATGGACAACACATACTTCGTATTTTAATGAGAAATATGCGTGAGTGTGCTTCATTTGCGTAGTAGGAGTTTGCTTCCACATGTAGCTGATCATTATTTGAGAGCCACGGGTATCATCCACCATTTAATTCTATATTCAAATGTTATTGTGCTTCTGAGATTGTTTGGATTCTGAAACCTCTTAGTTACACGGACTCTTCTTCTTCCCCTAGTATACCTGTGCCCACTGTATATGACAAGGGTAAAGTAGTGGGATATGTGTGCGACACTATTACTCAATTAGACTATTGGATCCTCTAATTTTGTATGTGAAAAAGAAGACATTCACAGTTTCTAGTAAAAAAATATTTTCAGCTTCTCCCCACAATTGTGAGATATAAATTTCGTAATTTCCATTTAATTGGAAGTACATTTTAAAATAATTTACAACATCTTATCTTAGAATATTATACAATATACAATATTTAATATTTGTGTGTTTAAGACGTGTCTCCATACCTATACCTAACTTTTGGATCCATATTCCAATATCTTAGGTTTAGGAAGATCTGATGTTTGGACACACTCCTACACTTGCACCTAATACTCATACCCTAGTCCATGTAACGTAGGTTAGGCACCTATGTAACTCTTTACCAATGACATAACCCATAAAACAAGTAGGCAAAGAACTGAACTGATAAACAAATGGTTATTGCCAGGAGGATTTAGTGGGCTGTTTCATTTATAACAAAGTTGTATATGAGATGGTGTGCCAGTGAGAAACCAGCAAGAAATCTCATTTACTTTCTGCAAGTTACCCTTTTATCTAATGACATTTTAGCATAATTTTGACAAATGCCAGATGATCTTGTGGCGTCAAACTGCTTTCTCATTTAGTGTGCCAGCTTGGATTTCAAATCGCTTGGTGAGGCTTCTTGGGTGTTAATGTTTGCTTGGAAGCTTTTATCCCATGCATTACCTTTGACTTTACAAGATTTTCTTCTCCAGTCTAGCTTGAAGTGGTGTTAATTATGTGCAGATTTAGAGATGTATTTAGTGACTCATAATTTATTTACCTGCCATTGCAGATTCCTCTATCCAATATACCCACTTATTTGTGTAGCTGCCTCAGCTGTCATTGAGAGCATTCCTGATTTTTTCCAAGACAAATATAATCCCAATCACAATTCTCTGCTTGTTACGGTGAGCTTCTACTAAGACAGTTATCATCTCTAGTGATATCAGCGGGAGATGCTAATTACTGATTATCTCTGTTTTCTTGCTTATGTAGATGGCAAAATCTGTGAGACCTCTGGTTCTTGGCCTCGTTTTATGTTCCTCCCATGCTCGAACATTCTCCCTCATTCATGGTTATTCTGCTCCTTTGGAGATATACAAACATTTGGAGTACCATGCTGATGTAGGGATGGGTGAGAATCAGTTTCCCCTTTTATGTTGTTTATTGATCTTGAATAGTAGAAAGCTTTGTGACAATTCTTAAATCAATGTAGGGATTTTTGAAATTATTGGCTTGTTATGATTCAGTTTCTGTTTGGAAAAGAAGATCAAGTTATTGGCATTATAACACCCCTTGATCTGCTTTAGTGCTGAATGGTAGTGTTCTATTGATATGTAGGTTCCCTCCTCGTGAAAGGATCCTTTTGAAATTTGATTTACTTAGCTGAGAAGACGGGCAGGGGTGGTTCTGTCTGAAATCTCTATCTTCTAGAAAAGAATTAAATGCCTTTTTGATCTTTGTTATTATTAAGGTTAATTTCACTTTCAGGGACTAAGTAGACAATTTGGCAATAGTTGAAGAGTAGAAAGTGAAATAAACCCTTATTATCATATATAAGTTCATATTTACGTATACATAGGCATATGTATACCTGCAGAGAAAGTATGTATGTGCATATATATACTTTATTTAGATTATTTGCAATGTTTTGATAATATAATCTACCTAAAGACAGGATTGGAGCTAACTGACTGTTTTTAACCTGCTGGACTTGCTTCTCTGAGTAGGCTTACCATCAAGACAAATGTCTTGGTGTATGCAACTGTTCTATTATTCACAAATATTGTGAGTATCGGTATAATTCCCAAATATTTCATTCATTTCTAGTTTTTCTGATAGTTTTTTGGTGGTGTTGGCGTTTGTAATGAATTTTATACACTTTTATTAGCATGTCTCTTATTTTTGCTTTCTTTTCCCCTTTCATCATTCAGAACTTTTCGTGCTATTCTTGCTACAAGTTTTCATGATCATTCAACCCCACCACCCCACTAAAAAAATCCTTGTTGAACTGCTTTGCAAGCTAAAAACAAACATGATCTAGATTGTATGGGTCAACAAGGATTAAAAAAAAATCATGCCAATGAGGCTAATCTTACTTAGATGGGTCATGTATCTCTGCTCTAGTTTGTATGCACATAATCATCTTTTCCATCCTATGCGATGCAGGTTCTCAAATTTGTGTTGGAAGTGAATGGCACCGCTTCCCATCATCCTTTTTCATTCCTGATCATGTGGGTCAAGTTCGATGGATAGATGATGGGTTCAGGGGTCTTCTCCCATTCCCATTTAATTCTACCTTGGGTGGGACTTCAGCAGCACCACCATATTTCAACAATAAGAACAAGGCGTCCGATGAGCAATACGTAATTAGATGCTTTCCACTTATTAAATCATCTATCTCTACATTTTTTGTTTTCTTTTAATTGTTATGTTCTCTTCCTGTCCTGAAACTGTATCAAAATAAAGCAAATGCATTTTCTTGTGATAATTTTGCAGCTCGTGGATCTTGATAAGTGTACTTTCCTCATCGAGTTGCAGCTTGAACGACCTTTCACTTCTCGAGGAAGCAATTTGTCAACATGGGAGGTCAAATCCTCTCTCCCTCTCTCTCTCTCTCTTTCTCTCTCTGTGAATTGTTCTAAATATATCTTTGTACCTTAGATCGTTGCAGCGTTGCCATATCTGGACAGGGAGCTATCACCTCCGTTGTATCGGTCCTTCTTCATTCCATTCCTTTGGCAGCAGAAGAATGTTTTCGGCGTGTACAAACTACTTAAAAGAATTCCAACATGACACTATATATGTACAGGTAGGTTCTCTTTTGGTTTCAATATGTTTGAGCTGTAATTTACCGTTAGTGACGTCTAGATTTAATTTAATGACCTGAATTTCTGGCTGAAATTATAATTATTCCTTCTGAAACAATTTTGTACTTGATTTGACACGGAATTAACTTCATTATATTTATGGGAATATGACAATTTCCATAAATAGATGTGAATTTTGGGCAGCCTCTTTTTGCGTGGTCTTATTGGTCTGAAGTGCAATGTACACCTGCCACAGTAGTATTGAAGGACTACCGAATAATTTTCCAGACTGTTGATTGTGATTTCTTTTTTCTGTTTTTTTGTTGAGTTGCATAGGGAAATTTTGTAGGATTTTTCCACACACAGCATGCATCAATCAGAGAAGATTATATAAATTCCTAAGGTGTGTTTAGCAAGAAATCTCAGGGTCAAAACTCAATCAAATCAAAATCCGATAACAATTTGGATTTTGATAATGGGGTCCGTTTGTCCTTCTCTATTTGGTGGTCTCGATGGTTGTACAAAGCCCCTCTCCCTGAACTGGTCATTTATTTGGTTTGTGTGCTGTGGGAAATTTGGTGTGCTCAAAATAGAATGGTCTTTGAGGAAATTCCCTATAATCCATTGCAGGTGGGATGTTGGAGTGAACTTACATATCAAGAGTTACAGTCTCGAGGGTTCTGAGTTCTCAAATTGTCGTCTCTTCATTGAAATGGCAGGCGGTTATAACTTATATCTTGTTATTAGTTTCTCTGTTACTCCGATGACTGACTTTGATTACCTTCTGATTGTAGATGGGGCATGGAAGCACAATTCTACCTGGGCAGGTTTAGCTTGGATTGCTGTGAAGGCGAATGGAAGCAAGGTGGCTGCAGAAACCAGATCTGTCAGGCCATATTGAGTCTGCAAATCGAAGCTATGGGGTTTTTGCGGCTTTGCAATGGCTAGAGCACCGATGCCTTCAGAATGTCCAAATGCTCGCTGATTTTCTTGTCTTGGTCAACTAATTAAATGGTTTCAGTCTGCCGCAGTATGCCTCCCTTCCTGTTTTGGAAGGTATCAAAGCTTTATAAGCATAGGTTTGTTTCTATTATGACTTGCGCGAGAAGCTTATTTTGACATACTTTGGGATACTTTGTAGAGTTAAATTCTCACCATGAATTGAATAGTCTATATAACCCTTGAATTGTCTATATGAAACTTCTGCTATAAATTCATGGAAAATGCTTGGAGAGAAACCAAGAAAAGCCTGTAAGACCTACTTTCCATAAACTAGACTGCACAAGCCTTCTTCAACCTCACTAACACTTCCAAATCCGATCAAAAAAGGTTAATAGATGTATTTAAATCCTCCCCTAGGAGGCCTCCCAGGGGTTGTTGGAGTGGATTTGTCTAAAAGTCCTACATGAATTGTACAATGACTCGATGAGTGAACACAAAAGTAAAAATAGAAACGAGGAATTAAGAAGAAAAAAAAAAAAGTTGACACCATGCGAAGCAAAATGAAGTTTGAAAGATTTTGTTTACTTATTGATAAATTACTTGTTTTTAGTAATACTATGACAATTATGAAAAAAAAAAAATACTGATTATGATATTATTTAAATATACTAATACCTGATAGAATATCAGGGAAATTGCAATTTAGTGTATTCAAAATAATTTTCGAATCAGTGGTGAAGTTTATAAACTTTAGTAATTAAAGTGATGAATTTTTTCATTATTTTGTAATATTTGTAGTCTTTCAACTGATTTGCAATTTTCCCAAGAATATGTAAAATACAGTGTGAGAAACTGAGGCTTTGAACAAACAAATGAAGGGATTGGGCAGGGTTCAAGTTTATGGAATGACTGCAGTCATTTTTCATTGTAATCTAACTTATTAATTCACTAACATCTTATTGTTTGTCAAAACAAAAACAAATGGAGTGGCAACAAATGCCAAATTCATCTCATAATACAAAAAAGCACATTCATACAACAATGTATACTAGAGCATCAGTGAAATCGTGAATGCCTCTTTCTCATCTAGCAAAATTGTGCCTCAGTGGCAAGGAAATATGAATCCTACTTCTATTGAAAACTCTATGCCATAATTCAAAAAATTAACATGTCACTCGTGTTATGTATGGGATAAAATAATATATTATTTAGATAATTATTTTAATTATCTGTATTTTATCTCTTGTAAATAAAATTTTATATATAAGTTTAAGAGTTTTGTTTTAAATATTCCTTTACTATAATATATAGAATAGATAAATTAAAATTGTTGCATTGACAATTAACAATTAAAATTATGCTTTGTTATAAAAAAAAATGAAAAATACTTCACTATTTTAGAATAAAAATATATGAATTTTAAAAAAATTGTTATATTGGTTTTTGAAAGAGAAATAATTAAAGAAATTTTAAAAGTTTAATGAGTAAGAAAGAATCATCGTAACATGTAATTAAAATATCCAAAAAAAAGTTAAAAAATGAATAGACTTTAAAAAAATGTGATTACAATTAAAATTAATGTCATATTTATTAATAAGTATACGTTTATTTGGATATCTATTTATACTTTAACATGCTTATTTAAAATAAAAATAAAAATAAATAAAAATATTAATAATTTTGAATTTTAAAATATGATTTTGTAGACTTGCTATATTAACTTTTGGAAGGAATATATTAAAATATTTATACAAAAATTGAATATTAGTCATTGAACAAATCTTATCAAATTTAAAACAAAATTTATAATAGGAAGAAATTAATGATATTGCAACATATGCATTTTAACAATTTTAAATTTTGAAAAAAATAGATTAGGATTTTGAATTTCAATGATCGTACAACATTTTTATTTTTATAATAATATAAATAAGGATAGGTAATAGATAGATTAAAATTAATTATAAATATAGCTATATTTAAAAGAATATGCTTTTGTATAGCTTATATTTTAAATTCTAAAATTTATTTTTTAACTTCTTATATAAAAAGATTCAAAATTTTAAATTACATATGATTTTTTTCTAAAAACATATGAACTCACAGTGGAGTAGAGAAAGAAGTATCATAAAGGAAGAGATAAACTGCACATATTAAAGATAAATAATTAAATAATTGACTAATACCTTTAATAGTTTTGAAAAAAATTGATTAAAATTGATATTTTCTTTTTATGGCTTTGAAAAACTATCATATGCCTTTGAAGTAATGATGTGCACCAACTGTCAATTAACACATATCATGATTTAAAAAAAAATATTAAAGTAATTTTTTTTTTTTAAAAAAAGTAATGATATACAAACATAAAATCAATACAAAAAACTTATTAATAATAATTTTGTTTGGATTTTGATCTATCACTTTATAATGAGTGACATGTTTTCTATTACACAAATAAATAACCCTATCACACAATTTTAGTATAAAAATTCTACTAAACAATATTAACTAACAAAAAATAGTTATAAACAAAAAACGGATAATGGTTGGTAGAGAGGAAGAAGAAATGACACACAAAATATAAAATGCAAAAACAAAAAAAAAAATTGTCATAGATAAAATATAAAAAAAAAAAGAAAAAAAAATGCACCTAAAAGCTAAAAGAGTCTACTTAAAGAATACAATAGATTAAATATAAACTAACTTCCAATTTATCTCATGAAAAGAAAGTTAAAAAATGTTTGGTTGTGCTCTGAAATCAATTTTCTACCTGTGTGTTGGAGTATGATGTTTGGTTTCGGTTTCAAATCAATTTTCTACACTCTGCAGAGAGAACTCTGATGCACAGGCGCCTTTTTTGTCCACCCGGATGACCACCCGGTAGACCACCCGGATGACCACCCGGTAGACCACCCGGATGACCACCCGGTAGACCACCCGGATGTCCGGCTGGTTCCAGATTTTTTTGATTTTTTTTTTTTTTGCAATTGTTTTATATAATTGGGAAAAATATTTTTTGAAATTTTTTAAATTTTTTATGTGCTTTAAAATAATTTTGAATTGTATGTTTAGTTATGAGTTGTAAATTTTTGTATCACATATCAAATGTCACATCAATAATTTCCCACTCAAATCAAACCTCTTTTCCAAAACTATTTTCAAAACTCTTTACCAAACAAATTTTCTACACTCAAATCATAATTCCACAACACACAAACTTAAAATACAACGCATACTCTTAAATCACATTTACAAAACTCTACCAAACACTACCAATGAGTTTCATCGTTCCATGAATGTAATATTTATAAGGCAAGGAAGACATAAAGGTCTTGGAAAAAGTATAATGTATGATGGTTAGGATTTTTGAATAGAAAAAAGAATTAGTTAGAAAAAAAGTGCACAAGAATAATTTTTTATATTTCCTTTTCTAAATTATAAATCATAGAATCATTACAAAAAATAATAAATTATGAGATTTTAAAAAAAAATTATATATAGTATAGATATGCTTAAATTTATTTGAAAATAAAATTGTGTTTAATTATGGAATAGAGAGAGAATCTAGATATAAGATTTAATTTTTATTTTATGTTAGGTTAATTTTATGTTTATATAGATCAAAACAGTTGTGAAAGATATTAATAGTATACATTTTATGGGAGGTGAGAGAGTTTCATTTTCATTAGATTTATTTTAGGAGAGAAGATTGTATGAGATTTATGTTATTTTTAAATAAAAGCTTGCTTTATTTTGAGAATGAGTGGAAGGTTGAGAATTGTGTGCTATTTTCTTTCTTTCTATCGGCAATATATTTGCATTAAATAATTTTGAAGATTAAATTCACATTGATAAGAGTATAAAATTGGCCCGCAGCCCATGGGCGCCCAAAAACCCCCCCGCGGCCCGAGGCGGCCCGGCCCGACCCGTTGATAATGTGAATATTCACATTGACATGTTAAAATGCACATTGATAGGAATGTAGAATTGGCCCGCGGCCCGTGGGCTGCCCGAAGCCCGCCCACGGCCCGGGACAGGCTCGTTTCGGTTTGGGCCCGAGCATGTTCGAGACCCTAGGTTAGGGCCTAGGTCATCACTTTGAAGTCTGGCCCGGCCCATCGGCCCGCTTAAAGCCCATTCAAGGCTCGGTCCGAGGCCCAGCTTGCGCCGAGGCGCAATGTATTTTTTTGTGGAAAATAATAAAATTTTGGTAGAAAAAATTAAAAAGAATTAAAAAAAAATGGCCAGACCCGCCCAAGCCCTACCTAAGCTCGAGGCTAGGCCCAGGCCCACCGGCCCGACCCAAGGCTCGATCCATCAGCCCGTCCAAAGCCCGAATACCCTTGTGCCAAGGCTAGGGCTTGGGCCTAATTTTTTGGCCCGTGGATCGGCCCGACCCGGCCCGAGAAAGGCTCATTTGGGCCCAGGCTCGAGCCTAGTCTGAGACCCTAGGCTAGGGCCTGGGCCATCACTTTGAAATCCGGCCCGGCCCATCAGCCCGGTTAAGGCCCATTTAAGGCTCGGTCCGAGGCCTGGCCCCCGCCGAGGCCTAGTGTCTTTTTTTGTGAAAAATAATAAAATTTTGGTAGAAAAAATTAAAAAGAATTTAAAAAAAATGGCCAGGCCCACCCTGGGCCACCCACGGGCTGTGGGCGGGTTTCAGGCAGCCACGAGACACGGGCTAATTTTACACTCCTATCAATGTGAATGTTAACATGTCAATGTGAATATTCACATTGTCAACGGGCTGGACCGGACCCGCCCTGGGCCGCTGGCCAATTTTATACTCTTATCAATGTAAATGTTAACATGTTAACGTGAATATTCACATTGTCAACAGGCAGGGCCGGGCCGGGCTCGCCCCGGGCCGTCCACGAGCCGTGGGCGGGTTTCGGGCAGCCACGGGCGCGGGCTAATTTTACACTCCTATCAATGTGAATGTTAACATGTCAATGTGAATATTCACATTGTCAATGGGTCGGGCCGGGCCGGTCCCGGGTCGTGGGCGGGCTTGTGGCCTCCCATGGGCTGCGGGCCAATTTTATATTCTTATCAATGTGAATGTTAACATGTCAATGTGAATATTCACATTGTCAACGGGCCGGACCGGGCCCGTCCCGGGCCGCCCATGGGCCCCGGGCGAGTTTCGCATCCCCACGGGACGCGGGCCAAATTTACACTCCTATTAATGTGAATGTTAACATGTCAATGTGAATATTCACATTGTCAATGGGCTGGGCCCGCCCCGGCCCAACTTG